TTTTTTTTTTTTTTTTTTTTTGATTTTTCACGCCCTGTTGTCATTGATTGATGCCGTAACCATCCGTGTTATTATTATTACTATTGCTATAGCGTGCAAATTATTAAAAAACATATCGAGAAGCTTTGAAAAGCGATGTTTTTACCGAGAGAAAGGTAATGTAGAATCGTTAACGAATCCTGTGACATCGTATTTTCAAAAAAAAAAAAAAAAAAAAAAAAAAAAAAAAAAAAAAAAAANAAAAAAAGAAAAGAAAACATACACATATCAGAGTATAAAAAGCATACACGTATGTGTATACGGTTCTTACATTATACTTATATACATGTATATGTGTGTACATATGAAAATGTATCACGTATCGCCAATATCAGCTGAACGAAGATTTATCCCTCGATTAATGGAGGAGGAGACTTCGAATTCGGGATTCCAAGTAAAAAAAAAAAAAAATGCTTGCGTAAATAAAATGTTCAAATCTTCGTAAAATTACTGATGGAATATTAAATTAACGACGACTGAGATGAATTTTTGAATCTCCAATCGATATAAAATACAATAGAAAATCGCCTTTTTAAAAATAATCGATCGAGTAACTATCCAACCTCGAGTACTTTTTTTTCACTCGGAATTTTCTTCGATCATCCCCATAATAACAAATCGATTGATAGATACATTTCGATTCAGCTTTGGCAATGCATATGTAGGAATGAAAAAGGTTAAAGAAAAAAAAAAAATGTTGAAAATATCGTTAAATTAACGCGAATCGAATCGTAGTACATAGATAGCACAGATATCAGATTGAAAGAAAGAGAAGGCGCGTTTATTGGCCAGGTTATTTGACCCGGGAGAATCATCCGGTTTTTACAAATTTTTTCTCTTTTTTAGGACGAACTTATATAACTTTTCTCTCGGTGATCGGACAATTGTCAAAAATGTGAAAAACCTTTTTTTTTTTTTTTTTTTTACCTGAATCAACCTTGCTGTCGGGGAAGACCGCAAAACTGATTTGAACCTGAAAAAGCGTCAAAGTAGAATCTCTTCACATTTTAATTAGTAGATTGATTTTTATCGCTCAGAGG